TGGCTGCCCGATGTCGCGCAGCCTGCCCTCATCGCCACCGCTTCCCGTCGCACCACCGTCGTAGCCCGTGTCCGCCGATGCACTCAACAGGCCACCGACGCCCACGGCTGGCCCGTCTTGGGCTGCCTCCAGCGTTTTCACGACCACCGACCGGCGAGTCTGTGGCCACCCACCGATGTGCAGGTCATGGACGCATGAGACGCGCATAGTCACGCAACGCTGCACCGATCAAGCCGCAGCTCTCATCGTGCCCAATCGAGCCGAGCCGTAGTCACGAGCGAGAAGGGCAGGGACGCCATGTAGGTGTCCGAGGAGCACGACCGCACAGGATGGGAGTGCACTGCCGGTATGCGCCTAACACCTTGAGCACCATGTCCTTGATCTAACAAGTCTACGCTGGATTCCAAGCAAGTTCACCAACAGGTTACATTGAAGGGGGGAAATATGCTAAATTCAGACCAGACCTCCACTCCATAAGACCAAAATACTGTCCCAAGATGGCGAGAACCCACCTGGGCCATAAGCACCTTGATGGCATGCTCATCGTGCCCAGTTGAGCGAAGCCACAGGGATGTCGTGCAGGTGTTGGAGGAGCACGGGATGGCCATCGGTGTGCCCTGGCCGGTGCTCCTCCGGCAAGTCCGTGGGCACCCACCGATGCGCCTTGGCCGGCCACTCCCCAGGCACTCCTGCTCTATGGTGAAGAAGAGGTAGTGGTGTGTGGTGAAGAAGGCTGACGTGCGGGGTCCACCTATAAGAGGGGCAAAATGGACATTTCAAGATCATGTTAGCTGCCGTCTCCCAAGAAGTTAATGGTAGTGGCATGTAAGAGTGAAAAAAATTGGAGCAATGGCTCATGTGACATTGTATTTTTCTGGTGGCTTACAGGGAATTGAGAACTTTTATAATGGCTCACAAGGAATTCTCTCAAGAGTAAGAGGGCAAGAGAGACTCTCTCCCTCCCACTCTCATTTGCAAACCCTAACTTTCGCCACCTCTTGTGTCCACTCTCCCTCCTAAACCCGTTCGGGATCGCAATCCCAACAAATATCCCTTCATAGGACCCTAGGAAACCACATATTGAGAAAGAAATGCTAAAACCACATTATGTGTTATATATGTAGCAGCAATATTCCATATCAAGTATGCTAGGTAGAATCATTCTCTGCGTTGAACTGTTACCTCAATAAATCAAACATATTAACCAATTGTTTCCAACTTATCATATGTTGTATACACTCCTCACAAAGACCAGAAAATTACCCACATCATCTTCTATATTCTCACACCATCCTTGCGCAAATGATACAACATATTTCACTTGGTCATTTTCTCCTAGGCAAGTAGACATCAAATCAAGTCACAGTCCCCGTAAGATTTTGGCACCTTACAGAAGCACCAAGACGATATTCCTTCTTGGAGTACATAAAAAATTTACTATAATAATAATAAACTGCATATAGAAATCCTAATTCATCGGTGGCATTGTCTGTTTTTCTCCTTGAAGAAAAAGCAGTTGCCAACTGTTTTAGACATAGTGATATTCAGAACAAGTGTGAAAAATGGAAAGACCATATTGAAACTCATGAACAACCCATAATAAATAGAAGTAGCTAAATCAACGTTGGCAATTATTACTAAGTATAAGGTAGCAACTTATGTTCACGCAACAACCCCTTTGTATGAGCTGATGGACCCGTGTTGTCCTGTAGCAAAAAACCAAAAACTCAATAGCAAATTAAAGGGGCATTGGTTGTGTTGTCGAAACCATAAACTAGATTTGTGGCATCATCCTTCCTATAGAGTTCCGCATAACCACAATCATTAAAATATACTTCTCCATTTGAATAAGGGCAATGCAGACCTGCATTAAGTATTCCTACTACATGACCATTCATTTCGATTTCTAATAGGAGAACTGCTCTTTGCTATAATGCTTTTGCAAACTAAACTAGGTTAAGCACATCAGGAAGATCAAAGATCTTAATCTCCTGCAAGTTCACCAGATCTGTTAAGATGTAGTTACTGATATATACTCGCTTGCTTGTCTTTTTCTCCAATCAAGAGTTGCACCATATTTAATATAAATTTAGAGACCCCTAAAGCTTTTCCTCCAACACGAGTGATAGAGCTAACACTTGATAAGTCATGTACCAGCAATGGAATGGAAATGTGTCCACCCATATCGACCAATTAATCCCTATTTCTCGATGACATTATCTTTATTCTGGAGCTAAAGTACTCGCTAAAAGCATGAACAATGCATGTCCCTGCAACACAGAAGATAAACAAACATACAATTTTTAGGTTGAAACTTTTTATGATTAGAAGAAGCACTGCCAGTTGAGAAATTGTCACTAATTAAATCATGTTTAGAAGTACTATCTCGCCAATCCCGATTAGGCAAGACCATACCAGATGGTAGTGGGATATAATCCTTCCAATTCACATATGCACTTTGCAAGTTATCTTTCCAACTAATAGACTCACATGCCTCCATTTTTTGAAAGGTGAAAACTCATAGCATATAAAATGCTCACATATAGAATAACCAACATCAGCCTTGTTAAATAATATGAAAAGACAAAATAACAAATATGTCTAATAAGAAAGACAAACTTAGCAATAGTAATTGATAATTTAGTTTGTTTGAACCAACGTCAATGATGTTATCTAGAATTGTTCAACCAGATCGAAGCATTTAAAACAATGCATACTCAGAAACTAGGAATCTGTGAACGATTTATTTATGACTGAACCAAAAATTAAGTCTTCATTTTTATTTCCTATTACTTTGCATAGCAACTTATAGTATGAAGGTAAAACATTAACAAGTTGCTTATGACCAAGTTAGTATAACTGATTTGCATGTGTTGACACTAAATTTTGACTGATATACATGAGAGCCCTGGATTTCGAAATTCATTAAAAGAAGCCGAGATATTCACAAGAGTGGCCATCAAAATCAGCTGAGTGATGTGACGTCATCATCCTGGGGAATGGCCTTATCAATGAGAGATGGCGGTGACTTAAAGCAAGAAGACTTGTCAGACTTCATAGAAGAAAAAGATTGAGGTCCAAGTTATCTTAATTTGAATATTTTGTTTTCAATCCTGGCTATTGTAATAAACATCTTTTCATCAATCACAAAACCCGTACCTTTACTTTTCGGCTTATGCCAATCCTAGGAATAGGAGTAGAGTAGATCTCGGCGAGTTCTTCGGACAAACAGGGCTGCATCAGCTGATTGACCTCCGGTTTGTTTGTGAGTACCCGTCACTTGTATTATTACTTGTAAGGCTGCATCAGTTGATTGACCTCTTACAAGTCATAGTATAAGTTAGTTATCGATCTGTATCGTTGTTCGTAAGGCTGCATCAGCTGATTGACCTCTTATGAGTCATGGTATAGATTAGTTATCGATTGGTATTATTGTCTGTAAGGCTGCATCAGCTGATTGATCTCTTGTAGGTTCGATTTCAATCAAAGTTATCGACATTGTGTTAGATGGTTTACTGTTTAATATAATATCACAATTTATCCGGTCTAGATTGAGATTCGTTGGTTTTTATCATATTGATCTATCGTCTACTGTTGTTTTATGCTTGAATTCAACCTTTGACGTTAGATCCTTCTCTAATCGACTAATTCATCATGATCTTGATCGAACATAGTGAGTATTCGAGGTCTTGCTCTATTAAGAAGTAGATCCATTAATTATCAATCTTCGATCTAGGGTCCTACTGTCAATTCTGCATCAGCTGACTCGACCTGTTGACAGTACAATAGATTAAATATTGCTGGTTAGTGAATTTACGTCGTTTATCCACTATGTTTCTATCGGCTATTCAGCTGATAGATTGAGCTTTCACGCATATGACATGCTTTTATGACTTTATTGAGATATAAGTAGATCTATCGATTGCTAATCTCTGATCTAGGGTCCTACCGCTAATGCTGCATCAGCTGATTCGATCTGTTGACGGTACAATAGGTTGAGTTTAGTCAGTTTGTAGATTTATTTATGTCCAATGAATGAGTGTTCACATGTTGTACGACAGCATCACTGGAATCGGCTATTTTAGCAGATAGTCTGTTTATTGAGGATACAATGGCTATTTTAATGCTTGTACTTGTTTTTGTCTTAGTCAAAAGCTAGTATGATTCTCAATTAATATAAATGCTTTCATACCTATTCTTTATGCTTTTGCATGTTCTCATGATCATCGGCCGTTAAGATTTGCATAATTAATACCTGTTAATTGCCGATAATGTTTATTTTACTTGCTCTGCATCATGAACATGCTAGATATCGACTCTTTAGTCGATAGCCTTATCTCGTTCGCTTTTTAGCCACACATTTAGAACTGTCTGGAGCAACACCGGCATGTTCCACCTTAAATTTCTGATCAATCTTTTCTCCTTGTCAATTACAGGATCAAATTGACTGGCATGCCTCAGGTCACGACGGTTTTGTGTTTCCGAAGTCCTGGGAGATCTCGGGATCTGCTCCACGCGGCTTCTCCCGGCTTGCTGCCGTGTTGGCGGCGAGGCATTTTTCGACGTCAACAGCATGTCATGAGAACAACTAAGCACATCTTTTGTGGAGAAGTAAAATACAGAGAGAGTATGTAAATAAGTCAGCTTGCATTAACAATTCACTATCACAAGCAAACCTACTCCAGCAGTAAATGAACATTAGGAAGATTTACTTATTAACTTCTGCCAACAAAAAGATTCAGTGTATAGAACAAATCATTATCATGCCAAAATTCATCTGTCCCAAGAGGATCTATAGAATCTCAAGCAATCCCAAAAGGAAAAGAGGAGAGGAAAGAGGAAGAAGAGAAAGGTCAGAGAGCTGTGAAGAAGGTGGCCTATTTCATCAAAGTACACGCATACATTATTCACAGATAGTCCACAGGACCGCATGGTATCAAAATTGAAGTAGCTAGTATCTGCATGGGTAGTTCATAATTGTACTCTAGATTCAACAAGATTCACTTGAGTCCTGAGGCATGAGGAAGAATATCTGGTGAAAGAATAGGGGTGGACCTTGCAATGCACAGGACTAATGACATGTCATGTACATTGTGTGACTCCTCGCCAAGTACTACCTGCAAACACCAGTTTGATAAACTCTAGATATTGCCCATGTAATCCTAAATGATAGGCTCAAAATATAGATAAGACAAGCACAACCTGTTTGATTTGTCCATCAAATAGCTTGTCAAACTTACAAGCTAAGCCAAGCAAAAGAAATATTTGTTTGTACTTGGGAATATTATTACAAGAAACTTAAATAAAAAAAGACATATTGCCATGGAACAAAAGATGTTATCAGAATACATTCCCTAAATACATATGAGAGTTGTGTATCATTCTATTAAAGAACAAATGGTACAGAATCAGTTCAAAAACATGCAAAAAATACATAAGACGGGCCACTTGCTAAATAAAGCCGTATACTTAGCTACAACCAAAAGCAAATACTGATGAACAACTGAACATACCTAGGGTGCAAATGGTTGAGTAGGATGCAATATTCAAGCTGAATTTGAAGATCAAGAAGGATTGAGGATCGAAACTTACCACATCCGTTGGTGCCATTTCCTTCAAAACAATTGCCGAACCAAGTGTGTCTATAATATACTGACCCTGTACAGAATAAAATAGTTTTTGTGAAAAAGATATTCCAAAATAATAATTGTATATTGATCAAACGGTTGTAACTTACGTGTGACTTAATCTCTTCCCGTGTGTTTTTCTCATTGCCCGAAAATTTATAATACACATCAACTGGATCAATAGGTTCGAGCTCAGCAGTCTTCCGTAATTTTAGGATCTTGTTCACAACCTGCACAAAGATACATATAGTAACTGCTCTCTCCGTCTCCAATTATAAGTCTCTCCAACCTTAAAGAGTCACTACCTCTCGAGCCACTCCAGCTTCAAACAATCACGGGTTAGTTCATTGATCTAAAATGACTAAAATGTCACCTATAACAAAAGCAACATAGGGATGTTTTACAAGAAAAGTTTAGCCAAACTAACAAGACAAAATAGCATATTCATGACAAAACCATCTCATACAGCGTCAATCTCCTTCTCTGACACATTTTCAGGAGGCTTGAATTATCGGACCACCTAAAAATAAAAAAGTCTACAGGTAAAATTTGTACAAATGGTGAAGATGCAGAAAACTGAAATAAACACCTCCTGAGGTCTAATAGAAACATATTGCACTGAAGTATTCCATGATGCAGAAAACTGAAATAAACACCTTCTGAGGTCTAATAGAAACATTTTGCACTGAAATATTCCATGCCTAGTGATGAGCATGAGAGAGAGAGAGATACAAACACACTAAACTTATAAGTTTCTCCCTTCTTGGGGCAGAGGGAGTAGTCTTCTAATCATACTAGTTGGAAACTATTTGCTACATGAAGATATTTTTAACAGCATCCAAGCACTAGCAAATTTCTAGTCATAAGCTTATGCAATCACCCAATGTTGAGTTGTTGACAGTTGTTATTTCCATCAGACCAAGGACTGCATGTATATGGAACATTACCTTAATATATATCATCTAGATCCAAGCAATGATCCCCAAAAATGAAATCTCTCCACTTTTTTCAAAGGCTAAGATCTGTTCCCGAGTCATCTTCTTCATCACATTTGCTACTTTGCCCATGTCTTTTCCAAGCCTTTTTCCTAGTACACTATAAAATACCACAAGCATTGAGCAGTGGGTGAAAATGTGCAATATTTGTGCATTGAACTAATCATCCTGAAGTTGGGTTCGGCTCGCAGAGAAGCATACATCAAGGGGTCATTACATGGAGTGACAGTCTTAACATTGACTTCCTCCATGACATACTACATGGAATGAAGTAGAAGTAGTCAGCATCCACCAATTAATGAAGAACCAAAATTTAATGTAAATTAAGAAAAAACTTGCACAGAAATGAATGCATCTGATTGATGACTACAAAACGGTTCCATAACTTCAGAATGGGAAAGAAGCTCAACGACTATAGGCTTCAGTCTAACAACCTGTGTAGATCACCTGTTGCGTCATGATTGTAACCCCGATTGATGAAGTGAATAACAAACCTCTTCTAGTTTGCCAGTGATGAACAATCAGCTGTTGAGTAATGCAAAGAAACCCAATTCAAAAAAAAAGTTTGCTAGTGATGTATGTTAGGATGATCTCCACCAGTTGGCCCAATGGCCAATTGGGCCCTTGATCCACGCCCTGATCTGGGGCGCTCAGCCGATTCTCCTGGCTGATGGGCCCCCGTCGCGCAGCCTCATAAAAGAACGGTAGGGGCTGGATCACAAGACATGAGGTCACAGGTAGCCGTCAGCCTCACCACGAAGTTTCTAATCCTAGACCGATCAAGAGGGCGCTGTGAGCGACGAGAAGCGTCATCGCCTTCGCCGCTGCCACAGCACCGCACCTGCACTGCTGCTGCGTTCGACGACCTAGCGGGCGCTTGCATGGCTTCCCCTACTACGACTCCAATGGCCATGTCGCGGTGGCGCCGTGGCCGTGACTGCGCATGGCAAGGTACATCACCAAGTCTCCTATCTAAGTCAAGTTTTTATCCCCTGATCTACGATCCTAGATGTCCTATTTTCTATCAATGTATTCATGAAATTCATTGTCTGGATCGTAAATGTGGACCGTCTCTGATAGTAGGGTGACGAAAATAAATTTGCCGACAGGATATGTTGGCTGAGGCGCTGAGCCTCATTCTCTTGAGATGATTCTCTTTAACAGCCTCGTGTAAAAAGAAAAAAAGGCACCTCAAAAAGTCAGTTTTTATAGTACTGATGATGACAGATCTTTAGGTTGTTGCCATATCTGGCTCGGCTTGATGGTAAGCAGAGGCAGTGATATCTTGGATTGTGGTTAATGCCCCGCGCATACTTAGTTGTGCACTCGGCGAGTGGTATCTGCACTTTCGTCGCCGGCAGTTAGAGACCCCGATTATGTTGAGAAGAACTTTAAATGTAGAACGAACCGGAAATAATCCATTCTATTGTATATAGATATTTTTTTGAAATCCAATACGGACGCGACGCTCACGTATATAAAATCAGCAAATCTTGTGTCATCATTTTAATTATTATTATTTTGGTTTCTGAGCTAGCTTTCGTATACCTCACTAAATATTTTAAAACACATTGCAAGCAGCAATGCTCTTGCATATTCGAGAGAAAAAAAAACACATAGTAAGCAGAGCATATCCTCGAGCGCTGTGCCTGTGATCGATGTGAGGCCAAGCATGTGTTTCTTATGTAGTATATATATATCGTGAAGCTTTGACCTTCTAGACCCTAGAGATTCGACGAGTGGTTGATACCATAAACAACAACGGCCGTGTACTATGATTGCATCGATCATCAGGATGCTAATGTACAGTTGGTGTGCCTGTATTGTAGTAACATGCATTCCGATACCGACTGAGGTAAGCTCTGACGCATGCTGCCCATTCTTTAACTCCCATGCATGCTTACTCCTCAAGTCATGCTGTGCCAGGACAATAAATCCGCAGATAAAACAGGATCCCGTTTCAGCTGGCTTGTTGATCCTATTCCCACGCAGCTTTGTATGAGTTTCTATCGAAAACGAATGGCTACCTGAGGAGACATCGCTCACCACTCTTGGCCCTTCCACTTCAGAGTTCAGATATGTCTCCGTCAAGCAGTTGGGAATGGCTGAGATTGAACCAAAATTAATTGATATCCATGCACTATCATTTGCATGGAGTTTTATTTTACTTTGCATAGCTCCACAAGCAGTCGCTGTCTGTCAACGTATACACTCAGAACGTCCCTCTCCCACCCGCAGCATGCAGCAGCACAACTGAAAGCTGAATGTTCGGTTGAAAGCTGAATGTTCGGTGCACAGTGCATGTAGACCACAACCTGATCTTAAGATTAACCCACTTCTTTACCTATCTACTTACTGGTAACAAGAAACAAAACTACTAGCTTTATTTCTCGCAAAAAAAAAAAAAAACTAGCTAAGTCCTGCATGTTTACGCAAGGTGCTTTCCTAATTTTATTTCTTGCTTATTGAGCTGGTAATAGCAGGCTATCAGCAGTATATAGCCCGGCGCCCTCTCTGACCTTACCATTTCCCGAGAGCAAAGTAGCCATCCAGCATCCACACCGGCCTCCCAGAGCCTCCCACGCTATAAACAATGCTCTCCAAGCTTAAGTGATTAACAGTATCCTATAAACTACTCATACTCCCGCACAAATCACGGTCCTACCATCACATGCCATTGTCCGTTAGCTCTCAACTGATAGCTAGCTAGCCTCCTCCTCCTTGCCTTGCCTGCAGGGCAAGCACAGCTAGCCAAGCGGGAGAGAGGGGAGAGCACGCGGTGATCTGATGGGGGACGACGACCAGCAGCTCGTTGCGGCGGCCCGCGTCGCCCCGCGGCGGTCGATGATGTTCCGGGTGCCGCGGAGGCCGGTGGCGAGAGCGGCGGGTGGAGCCGAAGCGTCGCCGCTGTTGCCGACGGGGCCAAGAAGGAAGAAGAAGAAGATGGCCGTGGCCAGGCTCGGTGGGAAAAGGAGGCTCTTTGGCGCGATCCGGCGGCTCCGGATGCGGTGGCTGGCCGTGCTGTACAGGCGCACGCTGCGGCGGCTGCGCGCCTACTACGCCACGGCGATCAACGACCTCCTCGAGGGCGCGGCCGTCATCAGCTCCCTCCGCGGGCCGACCGCCGGCGCCGACTGCTCCTTTGGCACCGCCTTCGCGCCGGTCGTCACCGTCGGCCTCTGATGAGCTCTCACGGTCACGGCTGGCCGGCCGCATGCATGCGGCGAGCCCGTATGGAGGTCTGCTTGTATAGAGCCAATCTCTCTCGATCGCTCTCTCTCGTTTTCTATTGCTCGCTTTTCCTCCATCTCCTTCGTCTGCCGTGTTCTTTGCTAACAATTAGCACGCCAAATCTTGTTCATCTCTCCACGTGTACTGTATGGCATCTTTCTGGATCGATCTCAAGAATCAGAAAGAGTACACAAACAAATAAAAGAAATAGAACTCTTTGTTTCAGATTTGCTTGATAATAATGCATATTTCCTATACGTACGTTTCTAATGATTGACATTTTTTTCTAATAAAAAGAAGAAGAAAAATGAGTTCTCTATCGATGCCTTCATATTCATCGCACGCTGCGTAGTACTGGAAGAATGCTATCTTTTTTTCCTTCGTGTCCTACAATAATATACGTACACTAATTATAGACGCGTTGTACGCCGTGCAGTACTACACACGCTCTGTTTTTCTTATTTGTCCTATAAAAGTCTGACGAAAAATTCGAAGCTCGTTAACTTATTTGGCTCGACTCAACTCGTTATCGTAACAATCGAATCAAGTTAAGCCAAAATTTTATTTTATTAGCTATAATGAGCTAACTCGAGCTAGCTCTCGAGCTGCTTGTGAGCCGAACGAGCCTCGCTTCTAGGGAAAAAAGCGACAAAACTTATATTAGTTTTGTATTACTTCATGCTTTGCACTTTACAATTGATTGATAACCGGTGTAGACTCTATAAACTTGGGATTATTATGACTTTATCATTTAGTTTTTAATCAGCTGTATACTACATATACTCCCCATTTCGCTCTCTTTTACTCTTTATTAATTGTTTATGACTTACGCATGATCGCCTTGCTAATTTGAAAAGCTTTAAACCCCCTGTATTAAACTGAATGCTCATCGGTGAAATCTGAAATGAAAAACGTTGCCACCGCTGTGGTCCTCCCTCGGAGAGGCGACAACAGAGACATTTGTTGATGGGTTGGCATCTTTCCTTTCAAAGATCCTGTGGCTCATGTCGCCACGACTGTCTTGTTGAACCATGTATATGGCCACTAGGAGTGAATTTGTTGATCAAACCAAACCAACCGCCTTATGGGAAAGATAATGACCATTCGCTCCGACAAGTACATCCTTTTTCTTTCCTATAAACATGTGGTAGATAGGATCGGAAAGAGTTTCAATAATACAACGGCAACACCGATAATCCACCAAGGAATCAACACGAGCACTACGAAACAAACACTGCAACTTTATGCATGTTGGACACAACTGCACATTTCGAACGATTGCAAAACGGACTCGAGAGATCGAGAGAGAAGCGAAGGAGCGAGACGATTCCTATTTTTATTTGCAAATAAAATCATCATCAACAAGTGACGTGACAGGGGACACAGACTCTACCAATCAGCAGGGAGTCTAAGGCCTTCTTTAAATCTAGGTGTAAAGTTTTAGAATGTTACATCGGATATTATATAGGGATGTCGTATGGGGTATTCGGATACTACAAAAAAAAAAAATATAGAATTCATCAGTAATCGCGAGGCGAATTTATTAAGACTAATTAATCCATCATTAGCACATGTGTGTACTGTAGCACCACATTGTCAAATCATGGACTAATTAGGATTAAAAGATTCATCTCGTAAATTAGTCGTAAACTATGCAAATTAGTTATTTTTAGTCTATATTTAATACTTCATGTGCCTAAATATTCAATGGCACAGTAGACTTCAAGGGGAATAACTAAACAAGGCCCAAATCTCTCAACAAACCGCATGGTTTTCTTGATTCCGTTAGAATTATATTCAATATAATAATGATATTAGGATCTGAGCACATGGAGTCAAAATTAAATCCTTGCGGCTCAAAGCCAAAGTGCATATAAACAATCGAACTCAATGGCGGCTGTTACTAGAAATTTTTATTTTTTTAAAAAAAATTGCCTGAATCAAATTTAGCATTTTTTTTTTGCAGAAGAGAGATCTTATATTATAGAGTTTTGCTCCGGTGATCCTCTTTTCAACAGTTGCACGCATCTTAAAGCATGGGGGTAATTAATTTAAATTAATTATGTTTGGATCTGGACTCGGGCTGACCCTACCCATATCCAGGTCCAGGCCCAGGCGCAGCCCAGTCGTTCCCATCTGCCGCTCACCCCAACCCGAATCATTTCTCCTCTCGTCTCGTAGTCACATTTGTCAGGAACCGGAGAGGCGGCGGCGCCAGGCATCCTGCAGATTGAGTCAGTGAGGCGCGGGCCAGGTGCTGGGACGGAGCGGGCGACTGATCGAGCGCCGGCGATGCACCCGACGGACCCGGAGGCGGGGCCCGAGCAGGAGTCGCCGGCGGAGGCGGTGCCCTTGGCGGCTGCGGCGCCGGCTCCGGTGAAAAAGAAGCGAACCTCCCCGGGACGCCAGGTCTGTATGTGCCCGCGGTTGCTTTGGGGTTGGTGTGCGTGCGTGCGTACTACTGCTACTACCTCCGCGCCCGCGTGCGTGCTCTGACGGTTTGCTTGCTTGCTTGACCGCCGCCCGCTGCCCGTCCGCGGCCGCAGATCCGGACGCCGAGGTGATCGCGCTCTCGCCGGGGACGCTGCTGGCCACGAACCGCTTCGTGTGCGAGGTGTGCGGCAAGGGCTTCCAGCGGGATCAGAACCTGCAGCTACACCACCGCGGCCACAACCTCCCCTGGCGGCTGGGTCTACGTGTGCCCCGAGCCCGGCTGCGTGCACCACTCCCCGGCGCGAGCGCTCGGCGACCTCACCGGGATCAAGAAGCACTTCTGCCGAAAGCACGGGGAGAAGCGCTGGGCCTGCCCGCGCTGCGGCAAGCGCTACGCCGTCCGGGCCGAGCTCAAGGTGCACGCCAAGACCTGCGGCACCCGCGAGTACCGCTGCGACAGCGGCACGCTCTTCACCAGGTGCGTGCGCGTGATTGCTTGCTCGCCACTTGCTAAGTCCTGTGGTGACCCTGTTTTTATTTTCCTAAGTCCAGTCTGTAAACTTTGTGCAGAGTCAAGTGATCTTTTGGTCATGTGTTGATGGTGCTGGTCATTCATTTGTAGTTCGTCTGTGGAGATGTTTCGTTGGATTCCTAGCTGTTCTGGAAGGGAGGACTTGCCAGCGCCTGCATACGTGTGCAATGCCAATTTGGTACTGAATTGTACGCGGCATGATAAACTTGAATTAGATTCAATATAATAATGATATTAGGATCTGAGCACATCGCGTCACAATTAAATCCTTGTGATGGCTCAAAGCCAAAGCGTATATGAACAAGAGAACTCAATGGCGGCTGTTACTAGATTTTTTTTTTAACAAATTGCCTGAATCAAATTTAGCATCTTTTTTTGCCAGAAGAGAGATCTTATATTATATAATAAAAGACATGTTACAATCAGTTGCAGTGAGCTCGCCTAGAGAAGAAGGAGCACTCTCGCGCCAAAACAGCACGGGAGTTGCAGTGCGCCGTTCGTCTTGCTAAATGTAATTGGGCTAACCCACGAGCTATACAAATCTTTCTGAACTTTACTGTCAGATGTAAGTTTCGGTCCACCGCGAGCAACAAGCTATGAAGCTATACTATTGCACTCTCTCCTAATCTTTCTGAACCCCACTCAGCAACGAGCTTCAGTCTTCTCTAGGCAGACAATGGCTTCAACTTGTTCAGTGGAGTGACAAACTTGCAAAGTTCGACAGAAGGACAGAAGCACCTGAACTCTATCCCTCACAAATTCCACCTACACTGACTGGATGCACCAGTTTGGGCCTTCAAAACACCATCAACATTGAGTTTTACTCATGATTCCCAGCCTGACCTGCCTTCCTCATGATTCATGGCATTTCTTTACATTAATGCCAAATTCAGTTGCCAGTGTTGGGCTTGGTCCAGCGGCCGTTCTCGTGCCGGGATGAGGAGCCGTAGCAAGTAGCAACGAGCAGGGCACCTTTCCGGCCTGCATTCATCTTTCGAGACACCAAGCAATCACTTCTTTCCGTGAACGACAACGGCCATTTAGTCTCCTGATTTCAAGCATAACCCGTTTATTCTTTCACATAGTCATTGCAAAAACATATTTTAAACAAAAATCCAGCATGGCCTAGTGAAAATGATTGCTCATGACAATGGTGATAAACTTTGTAAATTCTCTCGCCAGAAGCCATGTGGTGGATTGGTAGACCCTACTAGCTGTCTAGCTGGTCGCCGTTCAGCAGCAAGACAACAGTTTCTCCTGGATATACCATGTGTACCACTGACCATAATAAAACAAGTCCATTATCCTAATATCACTTGACTCTGAAATTAACAATCAGAAACTACAGTTTGTTTTGCCATCACATCAGCAGCTAGCCCTCCCATTGCACCAAGGAGGATCTATGCTCCATCACTAATCACTAGATAGAGCGCCCCTCTCCCGGCCAATTTCGTAGTCACACACACACACACACACCTCCCACTGATCATTAACCTTGTCGCAGATACTGGAAGAAAGAAAAGCGAAGATGATAAAAAAACAGTTTGTAAGAGTTTTTTTTTTCTCGACCACACCACGAGGCACATATTTCAATAAGAGAAAGAAGAGTTATTAAAGTACAAAACTAGCACAAATCCAAGGATTACTGCACACAACAAATGATCCTAAAACACACGCAGGAATGACTTGTGGGCAGGACAACATTTTTTCGAAGGGACGGCAAAAGCTTTACCGTGATTTTTATTAGACGGAGAAATTAAAAATACAAGTGTTCAACCTAGTTTTTTGAGTGAAAACCGGACCCAAAAACCACAAACTGGGAGAGTGCACCACTCATCCTGACCAACTTTGGAAACACCACCCGAACATCTAACGACTTTGGCCCACTACTTGCTCAAACCTGAGTCAACTTGGTCGAAAAATGACCCAACTAGTAATACAACTGCATTGGCAACTATCTAGAAAACTAAAGCAACTAAGAACATCTCGGACCTAGACCCAAATAGCAAAAAAACAAATATCTCTACCAACAACAGCACCTAGTACAAACACCCCAACAAGAAAAACCACTAGCTGCCGATGAATACTTCCATCAAACCACTGACTGTTCTTGAATATTTCCATATCACCTTTTGGTTAGCTTGCCCCTTATCGACGAAATCTGGTCGGCAGTCTACCGAGGGGTATGCCCACGGCAGTAGATGAATCGGTGGAGGTGCACGTGAGGAGACCGGATGGTGACACAGAACGCAAGAGATAACGATTAGACAGGTTCGGGCCGTCGGCTTGACGTAATACCCTACGTCATGTGTCTTTGTGGATTGTATTGCGTGTGTTCAGATAAAAACGAGGGGGTCCCTACCCGCCTTATATAGTTTGGGGGTAGCGTTACAGATCGGTTATTTCCATTTTGATCGGTTTACAAGATAGGAAGTTACAGATCGTACAATATCTATCATATCCTAGTAGATTTCGTAGATCACCGAGGATCTTCACGTTGACTTATGAAGCACGTCGTCCACCGGCATACTTCACGTGGCGTTGTCTTGCGAGCTGGGCCTCGAACGGTGGCGTGACCCGTGTATAGTCTTGTGGGCTGGGCCTCCCCTAGCGGCTCGGCCCACGTGGAGCCTTGCGGGTACCGGGGGTCATACCCCCACAGCTAGTCCCCGAGCACCTTGCATCCGCTGAGCAATGTAACACCCCAGTGTTAAGCTTTGCATTTGGCACCTGCATTTCATGAGCACAAACATCATCCAAGCATTCATGAACATGAGCATATAAAAATTCATCTCATTCTTATAACTTATCACATGAAATGTTGATTTTATATATATGCTTATGCTTGTAATCATGTATGACCAATGTATGAAATGGTTGCGAGGTCATGAAAATACCTTAGACACATCTAAAATGGTAAATGGAACAATGTTTATATTCATGACATAGACCAAACTTGCTTCTAAGTGTTGGTTTACTTTGAAATGCTATTTTTATGATACTAGTTTGACCAAAGTTGAACAGTAGCTTAGAGTATTTGCATGGCTGTGTGACCTAAATAAAAGTTGTAATTCACATCATGGGTAACAAACTTTATTTAAGGGTCATGAGCTAATTCAGTGTCTAACATGGTCAAATACAGTTCACAAGTATCAACAAAATGTTGTTTGGTGACTTAAAAATTTTTCTAAGTATTGAAGCTGTTTTCAGTTTCAAAGAACCTCACTTTAGAGCTCTATAGTTTGAAAACCGTTGGGAATTAGGCCAAACTCCTTTAAGCATTTTTGTAATACTCACATAGCTCTACAATTTCTATTAACGAAGTTTTTGCTAAATCGCCACGGATTAGGAGATTAGGAGCTCAAAGTAGTGCTGTCAGACGGACTGGATCGGCCGGCGTTGTGGGCGACCGGCCACAGGCCGTGGCCGCTGCGTGGCGTGCACACGCTGGGGCTGGGCCGTGTTGCGGCCGGGCGCGTGCTGAAGAGGTCGCCGTACGTCCCTGCCCTCACTCGCTCTTGCTCCGTCTCTCTTGCTCTCGCGGCCGCAGCAGTAAAGCCGAGCACCGCCATCGCCATTGCCGAGCTCTGCCGCGCTCGCACGCCAACCACACTGCACCACCATCCAATCCATCTTGTTCATGGCTCCACCATCATCTCCTTTACCTACCCGAGCCACCATTGCCGTCGTTAGAGCCCAGGTAATGCGATATTTTATGTCACCGTCGCCGCCATGGTCACAGAGCGCCGCCGAGCTCCGAGCTTACCGTGGCCAGCCCTATCCACCGCTCCTCCCATCTTTCTCTCTTGATTTATATTCGTCGTAGGTCCAAGAAGCTATAGCCATAGCTCGTTCAGCCTCTACCGTATCGCCGGTGCCGAAACACGAGCCGCACCGCCGTGAGCGCCGCCGCCATGCATGTCACTGTGGCCGCGCCTGTCCGATCGCTGTTCTCTCTCGCAGTTAGGCGTTAGGGTGTAACCCTAGGACGGCAAAGCTCATGGGTAAGACGGATGCACGCTTGCGTCACCTTTCCCGCCGGAACCTCACCCTGCCGCCGCCGTGCTCGCGCCGCCGTGTTGCCATGCACGCGTCCAAGCTTCACCGCTGCTTCACCGTGACTTGATCCGTGTTGTAGAGCTTCACTAGGGTTTGTAGATGTCGTAGCCATGCTCACCTGAGCATGCCATCACCGAAGATGGCCGGAGCACCACCGCGCATTGCCGCTGAGCTGCCATGCTCGCCGGTGAGGCAGCTTCGGTGATCCTCCGAGCAAACCTAGGGTACCAGTAGGTGCGCAAGAGAGTGAGGAACATGACGTCGGTGACCTCGCCGTCGATGAGCTTTTCGTCGGTCAAGCCGCGCCCCTGCTCTATGTCGCTGACATGTGGGTCCCGTTGACCCACGGGTCCCAGCTGTCAGTCAATATTTGAAATATTTTTCTTGATTTATTTTCACAGATTTGAATGCAAACTTCAAAAATTTATAACTGGAGCTAGGAATGTCCAAATTGAGTGAACCAAATTTTGTTAGATTCATCATTCAGTGTACTATTTTATAAAAATATGGAATCTACTGTTGAAGCTATTTTTCTTAGAGAATTAAATTGAGCAAGATAAGTGCTTTTAAAATAGTTTCTATCTTGTAAATTGCATAACTTGAGCTAGGAAGGTGATAAAATTGTGATTCCAATTTTACTGGTCTTGTGTTGACATGCTCTAGCTAGGAAAAATACTAGACATATAGTGGGCATACTTGAAATATGGTCTTCATATTTAATCTTAATTAATTGCTAGATTCTAGTGAAATTAAATGGGGCAAAAATATGTAACATATGTTCATAAAATTTTTTACACTATATTCTCATGCTACGACAAAAGTAAGAAAAATATTAAATCTATTGTTTGAGACTTTTCACTATTCTAAACTATTTTTGCTAAAATAAGCATATGTAACTAGTCATTTTTGTAGAGATAGCTATACCTATTCAAATGGCATGAAATTTGTACAGTAGACTACTAGGGTCATTTGTAGCCTACTATAATTTTATCAGAATTTATTGAGCACTAGAAATATTTACTCTGTAAATCACCTTATTATCTAAAGAAATTAATAAATAAATA